TTTATGTTTAAAGATTACTCATCCAAAACAAAAATTATTGAAAAATTCCGAGGCTTATTAACTCCTGTAAAGGACAATGCAATGTTTTTGTGAATATCTTCTAATAAACAGAAACCGTTCAAAGGTTGTAAAAAAGTTTATATATATTCGGGTTCATGAGGAGTACTGGAAGTATTGAGACCTGCTAAATACGTTCAACACCGGCCACTCTACATTCGCAGGAACTGACGTGCAGAACAGGTCAGCTCCGAGGGGTACAGTAATGCTTTGCTTTGCTCTCGACTCTTACATACAGTGTACGGAAGAATTATAAATATTTAGTTGACTTTTCTGTAACGCATAAGTAAAAATAATGACATAGAGTGATAATATAGCAATCATGATAACACAAATAACTTTATTAATATACTCTTAGAATTCATGCAATAGACAAGTAAACCTTCCATTACTTATTTTCAAAAAACAATTTAACTATAACGCCGTTGCGGCTAGACAAAGAATCATTATTTTTCGCCGCAATAAAAGGAATGATTCTTCTTAATTTCTCATCCAAAAGCCGGTATTTCTGAATGGCAGCAATAAAAATGTTTTACTTTCGTGTACACCGCTAATTTATAATAATACGACAGACAGAATTAAACTGTTAAATATAAAGTTTCCATTAAACTCTATAGTGATCACTAATCTCAGTGAGAAACTAAGACATCTAAATAAGGAAATTAATACTTTTGGAGGCCTAATTGGAGAAACTATAAACTCCTCGGCAAATGGTAAGAAATAGCTCAAACGGCCGGAAATAACATCAAGAATCGCAGGGATTTCGGAGTCGACCCCCGAAAGTGCTCCCTCTAAAAAAGACCAACACTCTTCTATAGATCGGTATTAAGAGCAGAAGCTACCGGAAATGCTTGGCGAAACCGAGACTGTCCACCTTCCCAGAAGGCGAGTTTGCCCCTAAACAATACTAATAACCACAAGAAGAGATGAGCTAACCAAAAAAAAACCTGCCTAATCACGAACCCTGCCGTATTTTCATGCACTTCTGAAGTGAACTTTGGATTGAACAATACAAAAGTCTTATTAAAAAAATAGTGATAAATAACAACTTGGATGGTTAACTATATTACGGTGTTCCATAAGTAGGAAAAATAATTCTTCTTCATCGAAAGGTTTATAAGTCTATTGTATAAAGCATTACAAAAATGAACACAAACTAACAACACGAAAAGTAAAGGCCTTCGAAACTTACCGAGTCACAACAGGATTCTTAAGTCTATTCATCATTAGCTGAATGGGCTTCTCAGAAATCATGCTAATTCCAAGAACGGTGTGACACAGATGCTAATAAATTTTATAGTGTAGGTCTAAGCTTATAAAGCATAATTTTTATACGAAAAACGCAATACTAGTAAAGCCTCTTTCCAAAAGTATAAAGGTAAGTCAACGTACGGAGCACAATCAACGTGGACTCCAAGCTGATAGAGAAATTAGAGAAATAATTAACTATAAGTAATTACCCTCATTATAGTACAGGAGTTCTGCAAACAGAGTCCCAGAACGGCTGGAAAATATATCTTCTGGTCATCTCGTTAAGTTCAAAGGAATCACGTGCAACAGAGGAGAGGTTGCTGGTCACGCCGGAGCCGTAGATCTCCTGGACGAGAAGAAGTTTGCTTTAACACGAGTCGGTTACTGAGCGACATAAGACAACTTGTAGCAAAGGCAGAAGATGCGATCGGAGTTTGCCTCGATTACTCCACTTTGGTGTCGTGTCTTTGAAATAAGGAACACCAAAGGTATGAGCAAAGTCTAATATTTCAGCTTTGCTCCTCTCAAGCATTGGACGCAATATGGTTACGCCGTTGACGACACTCTGCAGAGAATTATAAGCTGACTTAGTGTGCATAATATAAGTAAGCTGTACGGTTGATGCCATCCCCCCCAAGTCAAGAAGACTGCAGCCTCTCATTAAGTTCGATATTACATTCTCCTGGAGATCACCAGCGTGGTGACCGACCATAATGCCTGGACAGTCATTCTTATAATAAAAGAGGGTCTGCGGGAATAAATCAAGAGAAAAGCCGCATGAGAAATAAGTGCAAAACCTTAACATAAAGTTCATAGCGGAACATACGAGAGATTTTCTCATACTCGCCACGTGGGGTTTCATTCCGTGTGTACTTCGTAATTTGTATTATTTATTTAGGTGTCATAATAATAATGAAAACTACCTTTCCGCAGTCAACTTTATGAAAAGCGCAACCAAGTTTAGAACACCAGTCTTCCACAAACTTTGCCTCTGCTGCGCTTTCCACGCGGTTTCCATAGTCCACGTGAAGACATACTACCTGGACGTCCGGCGATAAAGTATACCAGCGCAAAGGCTACGTAACTCCGTACTCGATACAAAAATTTCTTAGAGAGGACGCACGTGATTTTCGTAAGGACCATGGAATCCACGCCGCCGGACAAAGAAACCTAACAACTTACTTAATACAACGTACAACAATTTTATAAAAACGTCACCATCATGTACTTGTAGTTAACAACGTGATGCTTACAGAAGAAAGACTCAATAACTTTAAAAAGAGCTGTTTCGTTTATTCCTTGGTCATCGCTCTATAAAAATATTAAAATAATATATAAACTTTCCGAGTAAATGCAACTAATAGATTTACAAAGTAAAAAAGCTTTCCGAAATCAACAAAAGGTTCAATAAACCGAAAAAATTGTTTCAAAACGTATAAAAGGGCAAGTTCTTTTAAAAAATGGAAGTGAAAATCACTTAATGAAAAAAAAACACAAATCCCTCCAGTAGCAAAAGTTCTTTACTACTAACCTTTCACCCTTTTAAAAATTGGTTATAGAAGAATAAATCTGAGTATTTACCATCTAAATATGTAAATGGGATTAAAAATTAATGAAGACTAAGATTTAGGTGAAAACTATAACGAGTTTCCTGTATTACTAGTACTTAATATAGAACAGTTATAATAAACTTATACCTGGTTTTTCAAAATAAAAATTAAAACGATCAGTACTGCTTCCGTGGTTATATAAAATTTTTATAAATTATAAGAAATCTCTTCAAACAGAAATTTAAAATATAAACTAGTAAAAATTACACAGGCCTTTTAACTTTTATAGAGTAGCAATTAAAACGTAACACGGTCATAAGATTTAAAATAGTACAGATTATAAACTTTTCGACTGAATTCTTTCACTATAAATAATTATTTCACACCATTTTTGAAGTGAAAATATATTATTATTATCTTTATGTAGTAAGAAAGTAAAAAATGAGCAGTAAAAGAAAGTATTATGAATATACTATTTTATGTATATAGTAAAGCATATTTAAAAAATATAATAAATAACAAATAAAACTTCCGATAAATATAAAAAAAACAAAAATTAAAAAAAAAATTACAAAAAATTACCGGAAACTCGTGAAATTCCAATATATCCTCTGGATTCCCCAAACGACCTTCCTATTTATAATTATAAAAACAAAAAAGAGAGAAGTACATGAGTAATCAAAAAAGCAATTACTAGTTCATAAAGTTTGCGTTGGGTTACTTTACAAAACTTCTGAATGAGATTATTTCTGCTTTCCGTTAGCGTTTTTAAACTAAGATCCAATTGTAACAGGTTATAAAAAGGCATTAGGGGTAATTAAAAACCTCTTTGCTATAAACAAAGCACGATTTAATCTAGGGATGGAGGGAGAGTGTCGCAATGGCATTATTAAAAATAAGGCCTCCTCTACAGAGAGGCAGGCTAACCAACCTTTACTTAAAAATTCTTCACAGTACTGTAAAGCTCTAAATTTTGATAAATAAGAGCATAAGTAGCAGAAATATTAATAAAATTATAGAACAATTTATCATTTTTCTGCTTTCTTTCTATATCAATCGTCCTATATATATGTCGAGAAAACTGATCAAGAACAATGATGAGCGCAAGAAACGATTTAGGAAAATTCTTCCAAGTAGAAAGTTCCTTGTCAATAAGAAATAATATAACTCATAGCTAAAAATCCAAAACCAAAAAATTAGTTAAAAAGATCTTGAAAAGTAAAACAAATAAAAGGTAAGCAAAATATATGATAAAAATTATTTAAATAGTATAAAAGTTTCTTTAACCTTATTAAAATACCTCAACTTCCGCTTTTTTTAATAAAGTTAAAAACTTTTGTGTTATCTGCAAGTCTACTTCTTTGGTTTTTCCTGTTATTGCGATAGCAAAAATAGAGTTAACTTGTCTCATACAAGTTTTATAAACATAACAATTTATTTCAAAAATTATTTTAGAAATCAGTTTTCCATAAACTAGGTGCTCACCTACCTGAAGAAAACCACTTTTGTCTGTAGTTTTGTTCAATGCTGGGCAAAAACCAAAAAGCTAAAACATCTTCCGCTTCTGATAAGTCGGTCATAGCAGAATTTTTACCGAAAGACTCGAGAACCTTTAAAGAATTTCCCAACATGTGGTTTTTTGGCCTTGCGGATGCCAAAAAGTTTTCTTCGCTTGAACAACTTTTACATCTCTTTATTTCGACATTAAAATTTTCTTAACGTTATTATTACCTTATTAAATACTTTTTACAATGAACACTGTTATCTAATATGAAAACTTATACCCAAAATTATTTATTTTTCATGAGTTACGCTAAAGAAAGTTAGTTTTAGACCAACTGTGTACTTGAACAAATAGTGCGTTAGAAGTGAAAGATTTCGTCGCAGTTTTGTGGCCAAGCATTAAAGCGAATAGTTATTGTCCCGGTTTCCATTCCTTTAAATAGTTGGTTATTTCCTGTTCAAAGACAAATTCTAATAGTATCTGAAGCTGTTGAACTATGAATTCTAGGCCTAAACCCTGAGGATATACAAAAAGTTATCTTGTAGCTATTGGCCGTCGTTGCGAAGAGTACTCTTAATTTGGGAGGGCGAGGTTGAATACGGGACCATCAAAGACCGAAAAAGAGAGTCGCGTCGGTGGGACCTATAACCTACAACCTTGAATATGTACAACAATGCTCTTAACCACCGAGCTACGACGAAAACTCTCAAGATTGGTATATGACAACTTTACGTATATAAACCGTTAGAGAAAACTAATCAAGTAAAATGTAGGTTAGGCACTTTAAGTTATTTTACTTATAACGACTGGAGCATACCAGTGCAATAAAATTTGGTTTTTAACTTGAGCTGCCGGTGGGCCCCCGATTGTTTAATATGAGCCCTAAACATTGTAATGAACATACACATTTAATAATTTTATGGATAAACTCTTCGTTAAGTGATTTTTTTAAACTATTTTCAATTACTATTGACTAGTATTAACACCTTACCTTTAACCCACATTAGTATTTACCGCTTTTTATGTCATAAGGGTACCAAGGTTCATAATAAATCTTAATTTAGAAAAGAAACTAACAAGTGCTTTAATAACGTAAAAACCCCTAGAGTTAAAAATATAGACCTAAAAAATTAAAAAGCTATAGTGAAATCTGTCTTTCAGACACTCTTAAGATTTTTTAAATGAGGGGCTTCGTTACAGATTCTATATTGTAACAAAAAAAGATTTCGCTAAAGCTTTTTTTAAGATAAGTATACGTATATTGAACCTTTCACAATTGGAAGATAACGTGAACCTACCACTAACCTCAGTCCTTAACCTCATCCTTTATCAAAATCTGTATTATGTATGTAATAAAAGTATATTAAATATAAGAGTTAAAATATAGAAATATATTGTGTGTATAGTTAATTAAGTAAGATGTGTGGTGTATAATATATAAAATATATTACACAAGATATAAAAAAATATTAAAGCAAGGAAAACTTTATTGACCAGTTTTCTGTCTGTCTTTATACCTTTAAGAAAGGTTAGAAAATGCTTGATTTTTAGCTTAGCAGATTTTTCTGGGGGCGTGGGGGGGGAATGTAACAGGTTAAATACTTAAAAGCATCATACTGGATCGAGAGTTGGCGCCGTAGCTCAGTGGTTAAGAGCATTGTCGCACATATTCAAGGTAGTAGGGTTTAATTCCCACCGACGCGACTCTCTTTCTCGGTCTTTAATGGTCCCGTATTTAATCGAGCCCTTCTAAATTCAAATAAGTGCTCTGGCGAAAAGCACTTCAATCTCACCAATCTGAGAAGTCAAACTTCAAAAACTTAGTACTACGGTGGTTAACGGGGAGGCTAATTACACTGCACCCCCCCACTAGAAAATCCGAACATTCGTTATACTTTTCCTGGAGATGTGCAAGCACCTAATTGCGCCCAACCAAAGACTAAGTGGTCGCGCTCGACTTACTGAGCACCGTAAAAATCACTAAAAAAAATTTCTCCCATACTTGTATGGTAAATATAATGGAACCAGATTAGTTTTTATAAAATTTTACATTTTTTTAGTTTGTACCATTAATAAAATGCGTCAATTTATTTTGTTTGTGGTAGGAAAATTGATTTCTTTTTTTCTTGTATCTAAAATAAATGTTTTCAGATAGCTGATTGTTTTAATCAAGGTTCATGGATGTGTTTATTTTTGTAGGTTTTGGGTTTTCTCTCGTGTATTTGTTTATGGTTAGTGTGCTTTTTCTACTTTATGTATTATACTACTTATTTTTTGTGTTTTTGCGTTTTGTTGAACCATGTTTTAGGTGTTTTGTATGCTGCTTTTGCACTGGGGCCCTCCGATGCGTTAAAGTGGCGAGGGCCACTTGATAGCCCTATGCACAAAAGCTTGGCTAGCCCTGCTACTTGTGCAAATTGCGGTTGTGCACACCGCTAATTATCAAGGCTGCAATTACTAGTCGCGGAAGACAGTCAGGCAGCCCGCATAGTCCGCTCCGTCGGTGCTCTCCTACAAAAAATACCGTTACTCCAGGGTTTCTTACGCGTCCCATTTAAAGGTGAAACCTCGTCAAGCCTCGCCCACTATTCCGTTAATTTCTAACGCTTCTGGCCACGCTTCTACTGCGAAAACCGATCAGCAACAGCAACAACCACAGACAACTTTACGGCAGCTGTAAGCAGTTTTAACGGCGAAGCTATCCAGCTTTCTTGAAACTTAGAAAGGACTAGTATCTGTTTGCAACGGTTTCTTCCAAAGACGCGCCGCTACATTCGACTATTACTTAAAATAAAAATAGTGTTCATAGCAAGAAGTATGAGCTCCTGGAGCTATTACGAATTGCCGTGCACGTCATCAAAGAGACGCACCTCCTTCCTAACGTTGCATCTAACCTGTGCAATTTTGTTACGTTAGCCAAGACCGGTTCGATGCACGCGGCGAGGGCGTGACTGTCTTGGTAAAACGGAGCATTCAAGATCACTTGATATCTCTGCCACCTTTACAAAGTCTCGGGGCGGTGGGAGCCGCCCTATATATGACCGGCCAGGCTCCCGTGTTTGTGATCGCTGTCTACAAATCCCCCTGAATCTATTACCGCCCTCCTATTTAAACGCCATCATTGTGCGTGACTCCTTTGCAGTTTTGTGCAGGGATCTCAATCGCAAGCATCCTTCATGGAATAGCCGAGTCGATAACTCGAATGGCACATCCTTGAGACCTGTGCTGATGAGCACGGGTTGTACGTACTAGGCCCCTAGCGACCAACACACTCGGCGGCTAGAAGCACAATGGACGTACTGGATATCGCCATACTGATATATAAACGTCTCACAACACGAACTGTCCTCTCATAACCTTTCAGTTATTCTCGAAATAGGCGACGAGAAGACACACCAAAGACTATCACCGCTTTTTTTTATCAACTAGGACAAATATGCTAAGTCTTTAGAAACCACTCTATCGCCGAGTCGGTCACTTCCGTCTACGCCCGCCCTGCCAGATAATGCTATCTCCTTACTTGAAAACACACTAAAGTGACTCGCAGTACTGCCACTCTACTCGTGGAGTAACGTTATCAATATTTGTATGAAAACTGTATATAAAAAGAAGCATATTAAATCGAGATACTTTTATTTACCAGTTTCGGTTTTGTATTTATACCTTTAAAAAAGATCGAAATATACTTTATATATGTACTATAAATTTAATTGAACCAGATAAAAAAAATTTTCGTTGTCTAGCTTGTATCAATTAATAAGGTAGGACAAATTAAATTTTTATGTTGAAATATTAATTTCTCGTTCTTGTATTTTTATTGGTTGTTTCTCAGGTTTCTAATTGGATTAAACACGGGTCATTTTTCTGTGAAAATGTAGAGGGTTAGTGTTTTGTGATTTCTTTGTATTGGTACTTTTGTGCTAGTATATGTGTTTTTTTATGTAATTTATACTTAATGTATTATACAATGTTTTTTTATAATCTATATTTTTTTTACCATTATTATTTTGTATCTGGTGTTTTAAATTGTGCCTTAGGTGCTGTGTGTACTGTGTTATTGTATTATAAATCTATGTTACAGTAGTGGATTGCTCGTCGCCGCTCCCCTTACCTTTTTCTATTCTTGTAATCATTTCTACTCTTATTCAATGTTTTTTTTCTAGTCGCTTTTTAACTTTTACTATGTAGTGCTTTTGTGTAATAGCTGTGTTTTTTACTTTTACATTTGAACAACTTCCGTAGTTAAGAAAATAGTTTTAATTTGAAGGAATGTTTGCTTCTACCCTTTTTTCTTTCTTTTTAACTTTTAGTACTTAACCTTTTAGTATCATCGCTGTTATTGTTACGTTCAAGAACCTTTAATAATTAAGATTATCCTTTTTTTTTAATTCTTATTTTTATTATTAAATTCGCCTTATACCTCTTACTATATATAGCTTTAGTGTTCTCGCTGTTATTCTCTAATTTCCCTTTCGAGCTACTTTAATAGCTTGAAAAAATATTCTAAAAACAAAAGAGCGTTGTTGCTTGCCTTTTGATTCTTTCTTTATTTGTGTTTAGATCTCACTTTACTCGATTATTACTTTTTATTATCAAGAAGTAGTAGCTTTTCTCCGTTACTATCAATTTCTACTTTGAGAACATTGTTTACGAAAAAAAATTTCTAGAACCGAAAGCTCGCCCCTCCTCCTTTTTTTTTTCCCTTTTTAAAATTTACTAGCTTTCTCTCCGTTGCTTTCATTTTTAGGATGGAGCAACGTTGATATTAAAAAAAAAAAAAAATTTAAGATGCCTCGCTGCTCCCCTTCAGTTTTTTCTTTCTTATTTTTTTAACATAAATTTTACTCGTTTCTTATATTACCATGTAGTTAGCGCTCTCGCTATTATTTTTCAAGTTTTTACTTTCGAGATATCTCAATAGATAAGAAAAAAATTCTGATATTTAAAAATTCTGACCTTTTATAATAACTTTCAGACAATTATTGTAAATAAAATATCTAATCTCTTTCTCTTCTATGTGTATTTATATATATTTACTATTAGAAAGCTTATATAACTTGGCTCGGCT